TTTGCGAACGGGCAGTCCGTCCGTTCCACCTCGTGGTCCGTCCGTTCTGTACTGTTTTTTCGTCTTTTTCTCCGTCTTTCGCTAGACCGGTCGGTCTACCTCTGGACCGATCGGTCTACGCCCTATTTCCTTTGTTTTTTCGACGTTTTTGACGCATTCGAGTCCCGTTGATCCCTTGGTTCGAATCTTATGCCAATCACCTTATATTTTAGACTTTTCTTACCCTATTTTATTCTCGGAGTTAATTTAAATAAATTATTCGAGAATCGGGGTATTACAGGGGGGAAGGTGAGGTCGATCATAATCTCATCCTAGGCCATTAGATGAGCAGGAGGAACTTCTGAAAAACTCTCTCAAGTGTGGAGGAGTGTTCTTGATCCAAATCAAGAGAGATTTGATCTCCTTGTGCTCTAGCAAGCAAGTTTCCAATTGTTAGAAACCATCCCAAAGGTGTGGACTACTCAAGAGGGTGTTGGCTGCTTCAACACCTTGGTTGTGATCTTCAACCAACCTTCAGATTCGGAATCAAAAGGTTAGTTCCACTCTCCAAGAGGTTCTTCATCGAAACCATGGTCCGTGGGCGGTTCAAAATCGTTTTGAACGCAATTTCTGCTGCGCAAGCCCGCGGACCAGACCCGAGACCGGTTGTGAACCGGTGGTCGAGGTTCCCGTGCGACCCAACACATTAGACTTCCGATTGCACTAGCATACTCTAATTATGCTAATGTTCTTCCCTGGTTCTCGCATAGTTTCATATTAGAATCATAAGGAGTATTACACTCTTTAATGTTCAAATGTTGAAACTTATCCAACATTTTCTCGATATAGTGAGATTGACTAAGTGCAAAACCATTCTCATGTTTGTACACCTTAATCCCTAAAATTGTATCTACCTCGTTCAGATCTTTCATCTTGAACTTTGAGGCAAGATACTCCTTGGTTTCACGAACACCTTGTAAGTTCGTACCAAATATTAACATGTCATCCACATAGAGACAAACAATGACCCCATATTTCTCCGTAAACTTGGAGTAAATACACTTGTCTGCATTGTTATGTGTAATCCCATTTGACAAGATCACTGAGTCAAACTTTTCATGCCATTGTTTAGGTGCTTGTTTTAAACCGTATAACCATTTTACTAACTTGCACACTTTTCTTTCACTTCCAGGTAGCACAAAGCCTTCTGGTTGATCCATATAGATCTCTTCATCAAGTTCACCATTTAAGAAGGTTGTCTTTACATCCATTTGATTTATATATAACTTATATACAAATGCTAGGGCCATTAGAACTCGGATGGAAGTCATCCTTGCGACAGGCGCATATGTATCAAAATAGTCTAGACATTCCTTTTGTCTAAACCCCTTTGCCACAAGTCTTGCTTTGAATGTATGTGAACCGCAATGACTAAACTTTCGTTTAAATACCCATTTACAACCAATGGATTTCGACCCTTGCGGTAAATCCACTAAGACCCACGTATTATTAGATAATATCGAGTCCATTTCATCATTAATGGCCTCTTTCCAAAATGATGAATCCCTAGAAGCCATTGCTTCATCGTAGGATTGTGGATCGCTTTCCAGATTCAATATTATGGGGATCTTTTTAGTAATTGAATCTCTCGTTCCTTCAACGAGGAAAAGTAAAGACTGAGATGAGATAAAATCCGGACATAAATCCTTTTCTTTTCTCACTCTCTCGCTTCTCCTTGGTTCGATAATTTGTTCTTCACGAGAACGTTTTATTCCTTGAATATTAGAGTCCAAAAACTCACTTTTCTCTTGTTTCGAATCAACCGAATCATTGAGAAACTTATTCTCAAAAAACTCGACTTCTCGTGTTTCGACTATCGTATTAGATACTAAATCTAAAATACGATATGCCTTTGAATTTTGGGCATATCCAACGAATACCCCTTTTACCGCTCTTGATCCTAACTTAGTTCTCTTTTGATCAGAAAATTTATAGTAAGCAAGGCACCCCCACACTTTAAAATATTCTAAATTTGGCTTTCTACCTTTCCATAACTCGTATGGAGCGATTTTGAAATGTCGTGACGGAATCCGATTATGAATATAACAAGTCGTCAATAAGGCTTCACCCCAAAGATTATGTGGGAGTGTTGCGTTCAACAACATCGAATTGACCATATCCACTAAGGTACGGTTTTTTCTTTCCGCTAATCCATTTTGTTGCGGGGTATACGGTGCGGTTCTTTGATGCACAATTCCATTAACTTCACAAAAAGCATCAAATTGAGTAGAAAAATATTCTCCTCCTCTATCACTACACAGAGTCTTAATTTTCTTTTCAAGAATATTTTCTACTTCCGCTTTGAAACGTTTGAACATATATCAAGCGCTTCATCTTTGTTTCTCATAAGATAAACATAAGTAAATCTAGAGAAATCATCTATAAAAGTGATAAAATAACGTTTACCACCTCTAGTAAGAACACCATTTAGTTCACAAATATCCGAATGTATCAACTCGAGAAGTTGAATGCATCTTTCATTTTTTCGGGAATGATTTCTTATGATTGAACACATATTTCACACTTTTCATTTAGTTCATTATTACTAAGATTTATATAATTATTCTTATGCATATATCGAAGAGACTTTACATTCAAGTGAGCCAAACGAGCATGCCACAAAGAATAAGAATCAACGATATAAGCGGAAGAATTCACTTTATTCATTTCGATGCTCAACTTGAACATTCCATCGGTACAATAACCTTTTCCCACATACAAATCTCCTTTCAACAAGACTAACTTGTCAGATTCAAGGATAACTTTGAAACCTTTCTTACATAAAAGACTTGCTGAAACTAAATTCTTTCTTACATCGGGAACATGAAGTACATTCAACAATGTTAATTTCTTTCCCGAGATGAAGTTGATCTCTACCGATCATTGACCATGCACTTTAATCGCTTGGTTATTACCCATTAGCACTTCACGATTTGCCACTTCTTTATAACTTTTGAATTGGCGATGGTCATTACATACATGAATGGTAGCACCAGAGTCAAGCCACCATTCACATGATCCCTCGGTAATCGCCATGTTAAGTTCGGTTATCATACCGATCTTCATGGATCCAAAAGCGTTTGACACCATGGCCACTAAGTCCTTCTCCTCGACCACGTTGGCCTTCGGAGTGGTGTTACCTTTTTGTTGGTTCTCCTTTTTGAGAATTCGACAATCTTTGATGTAATGCCCTTTCTTATGGTAATGATAGCACGAACGCTTCATTTTCTTATTGTCTTGTTGTTCCTTATATTGGAACGAAGACTTTCTTTTACCTTTTTGTGTAGTCTTAGATTCCACATAGTTCACATTAGAACTTTGAGGGAAATTCACGGCATCTCGTTTACGAGATTCTTCCTCGATATGAAGATACCTTAGAATCTTTTCCACCGAGAAGTCTTCCGCCATATGCAGAAGCTTTTTTCGATAATCATTCCAAGTAGAGGGTAATTTTGAAATAATTGCCCCTACTTGTAATGATTCGGGAATCACGACCTTAAGATCACAAAGTCTTTGCACGAGAACTTGTAACTCATGAACTTGATTCATTAATGGTTGAACATCAGTGAATTTAAATTCAAAATACTTTAGCATGAGAAACTTATCGGTACCTTGTCGCTCGGTATTATATTTTTCTCCCAAGGCTTTCCAAATTTCCACCGGAGACTTGGTTGACATGTAGAGATCATATAAACGATCGGAAAGAATGTTGAGAATATGACCCCGACATGTGTATTCGTCATCCTCTCATTTCTTTTTCTCTTCACTCATCTTTGCAATTTCATCGGGTGTAACATCCACTTTGGGTTCCTCCACCGGTTTAGTTTCGGGATCCAAGACATATGCCACCTTAAGGACGGTGAGGAGGAAAAACAACTTGTCTTTCCAACGGTTGAAGTTAGTCCCGTCGAAACGATCAAGTTTCACAAAGTCTTGATTCATGACTTTGTATGCACTCGTAGTTTCCGAAGCCATTAAAGAAAATATTATACTCTTTGATTGTTAGGAAAAAATAAGAAAATAGCTTCGGAATAAAATAAAAGAAAGAACACTAACACACACGGATGAACACGAAGTTGTGGAAAGTCTCGAGGCACGGGTTAGACGCTTTCCAAAGAGTATATTTACCCTCACACAAAGTTGCTTCGGGTTAAGGTAAAGTACCATCGGGATACAAAGAGACTTATGTTTCTTCCTCGAGAATCAAAACTCGGGAGAAACCCTCACTCTCACTCAAGAACGTTTGAAATGGTTTTGTGTTTTCTTTCTTTGGAATGGATAGATGAATGAGAACTCTTGATGATACAAAGTCACCAAATCATGGGTTTATATAGCCATGATTTTATAAGTTACCACATTAATTCAAATAGGTTACTTAATTAAATAAAACAAGTTACTTTATTGAATGACATGTTATACAAACATATAGTTACTTTTTTACAAAGAAGTTTCATTCAATTAAGGTTCTGAAAGTAACTTAATTTCACTAATTAGTAATCTATCTCCAACAATCCCTTCATAGATACCCAACTATATATATATATGGAAAAAATCACAGGTGAGTCGACAAGAAACATAGTCAATATACTGAGAGGTTGGGGGTTCAATTCCTTCTCCACTCACTTGTCGTCCGTCAATTACAGTTTTTTTATCTCTTACGTGTATGTCGCGAATTCATAGATGAGAGGTTTATCCAACCAACACGTCCGAAAGGTAGCAGTTGAGGTTCTCACAATTAAAATATATCTTTACTTTTAATCCAATTCTAAATTAAACCCATCATGATTTTATGTGAAAGTTTTTTTTTGGTAAAATGTGATTGTATATTAATACCTGTAGTTCGACAATAAATTACAACCAGTCAATGATAGAGACTGTATCTAACCCCAACAAGAGACCCCATGACAAAATAACCCAAAACCTGGTAAAACTCGGCACCAACAACAACACAACAACGAGAGCTACATTCTCAAACTACTAGTCAGAAAATACCAATCCTCCAGCAAAAGATTGTTAGTTGTAGTTCTCCTCTCTTTCATTGAAAGAAGCAAATTCCGCATCGACTTGTCCAAATGCCTTCGCATCACTTCCAACGGCTTTTCTTTGTTCCGAAAAATCCTGGTGTTACGCTCATTCCACAACACATATACTGTCAGTTGCAGTAGCAGCTTGGAGAGAACGACCCTGCTTTTACCTTTGTCATTTCCTACACGTGTAATCCAGTCTTGGCATGCTTCAAGATTCTCTGGCGGCGAGTTCCAGCAGCATGATGCAAAATAGACCCATATATTGGCGCTATAAGAACACTCGAAGAAGAGGTGAAGGTGGGATTCTTCTTCCTCTCCACAAAGGACACATTTCTCATCGGTTTGGAGGCCCCATCTACGCAGTCGATCTCTAGTTGGGAGACGTTGCTGCATAACCTGCCAAACCAAGAGCGTACCTGGGGACAGACCCTCGACACCATACCAAGGAATGCCAGTCAACCTTTGGTTTGGCTTGACGAATCCGATTCCACGTTTTCGCGGAGGAGAAGAAGTGTTTGTAGTCTGTGGCATTGTGCCTCCATAGCATGACATCATCACCAGCTTCTGTCGACGGTGGTCGAATTTCCGCCAGATAAGTAGTTGTTGTATGCTATCCGATCTTGCCGGAGGAAGCGATCGTAATAATGCTCATGTGTAGAAACTTCCAAAAACGTGAAATGTAAAGAAAAATGGAGTGGGAAAAGATATTTAAAAAAGAACAAGGAATTCAAATTAGATAATAATTATATATAAATCGGATCAAATAATTTTTTATTCCGAATATTATACAATTTTAATGCTAACGAGAGATTTGAAAAAGTAATTAGTCAATGATGGTCCATGTTTTTTTAATTTAGTTTATTGCTTATTTAATATTATCAACTCCATAAGTCGACTATTATAAGATCGTAATTAGGGGGCCATCGGTATAAAAAGATAATGAAATATAAGTCAATCTTATATATATTCAACACTATCTTAAAAATATAATATACATTGAGAGATGGTTTTGTAGTGTATAGAAGAAACTCTTTCCAGTATCTTATCTTAATGAATTCAAATATTTCAAATTTAGGTTTTATCTTTTTATTTATTTATATTGTATTTGAATATTTGGGATGTTCGAAATTTTAGATATTTCAAATATTTATCACTGAAATCTTTGCATGATATTTATTGGAGAAAATATTAATTAAAAGAACAATGACACAAATTACAAACTCATTAATTATGAAATAATTATTGTGTGTGTGTGTGTGTATATATATATATCACGTGAACATATATATAAGCTATGTAACTTCAATATATATACATATACATGTATTTTGTTACATTGATATTATGAGAGGATGGTAATATTTGGGTGAAGACATAGTTGTCCGGAGGGCCAGCCGAAGGCTCCATCCAAGCCCACATATTATATGGTCCAACATTTTCTGGTATTTTCCCACGCGACGCGGCGGTCGAAGCGCGTGGTAGCACTCGCCATGGTTTTATCTGGAAGCTTCCTCTATGTCCCATTTTATAATTTTTTTTATTGGAATAAATAGATAAAATCAAATTAAAAAATCCTAAACTTTTCAAATTTAATAAATTAATATCTAAACTAACTTTTTTTAAATGAAAACCCCTCAATTATCACATTTTTTTGGGTTAACTAGGTCCATCTCAATTATCACATTTTATTCAAAAAAAAAATGTTTAGATGTTGACGGCGATTTAGGATTTCGGTCGCCTTCGATGTTTGCCCTCACCGCTCGTTGCAAGCTTTTGTTCTTCCTTCGGACTTGGTCTTCTCGGCCTTACCCCCTAGCCCAGAGTTTTTTTTAGTAACCGGCATCCTAAGTCGAGATCCATGCTAATTCCGTGATTGTGAGTAAACTATATATGATTAGAATATACGTTTTTTTTCCAACTTGAGATTTAAATTCGGAACGGGATAAATTTTTACGTCCTTTTTCCTTCGGTCTCATCTAGGAGTATCAATTTTGGTCTTGATTCTGAAGTTTGATCCATTATGACCCAAAAAATAGCGAATTTCGAATTTAAATATCTCGATCCAAAAAATTTTGGGCTTTTGGATCAAGTTAAGATCGGATTTTGGATCGATCCAAAAACACATTTTTTTTTTTCAAATAAAAATTTAATAAAAATAAAAATAAAATAGACTTTAAAGAATAAATTTAACGTATCGGTTCAGTCTGAATCCAAACCCGAAATCTATAGGAACAGGTTTTAGATTTTATTATTTAGACTCGAAAAAAATTGGATTGGTAAAAGATTCGAATATAAAACCCTCAAATAGATGAGTAAAGGGGGGAATTGCAAAAATAACCTCAATTGTCGATTTGACTTCAACGGATGACCCTGACTTTTTTTTTAAAAAAAAAAACAACATCATCGCATAACCTTATAATTGTATCTTTCCAAAAATACCCTTTATTTTTAATTTATTATTAAATTAAAAAATATATATTACAAATCTTTTTTCTCTCTCTTCTCTCTCTCCTCTCCCACCTCTGTCGAATTACCGTTCTTCTGTGGTTTGGAGGCTTCATCTCCATTTTTTTTTCAGCTAATTTATTGTGAAAAAAATAACATTAAGTTTGAGCATTTCATCGATTAAACACTGATCTGAATAAATTTGAATAAATAAAAGTATTGTTTATAAATTTCGTTATTAAATTTGAGCATTTGTAAGTATTTTTGCTTTGTTGTTTTCTCATCTTTATATTTGATCCATATGAATATGGGTTGAATAAAAAATGATATATTTATCAGAAATACCACGATTCACGTTATTTAACTGGTCGAAATCATTAAATTTGTGAAATTCATCAAAACGGGAGAATTCAGGAAACTGGTCATACATACGTATCGGAATGGTCAGACTAGTCATATTCCTAACTGGTCATACTTCTCAAACTCGTCAAACTGGTTGTAACGACCCGAGGCCGCTACGGAATGATAGAGCTATCCCCACACACAAATACGGGACCTTTTAGCGTGCTTTGTCCTCACTCGCACACATCCCGGAAAGTACTTCCCAGGAGGTCACCCATCCTAAGACTACTCCAAGGTCAGCACGCTTAACTTTGGAGTTCTCTCGAGATGGGCAACCGAAAAGGTAGATGCATCTTGTTGCTATGAGTAGCTCAATTAATTCCTTTAAGTTATCTTAGACTGTGTAGTCCCATACCTACACAGCCCTCGGATCTCTCTCATTCCGGTGCGTCCGCTTCATCCTTGTAACCCCTACCGAGAAGCTAGTCAGGAGCCGCCCATTGTCCATGCCTCTCGCACCGGCGATCACTCCCCGCTCTCCTACGGTATCCTGGACTGTCACACTGGTCATACTTGCAAAACTGGTCATAAATTAAATCTAAACGATTCGAAAAGTTGTATAGGGGTTATAAGAATACTTTTGCATCGTTTTGGAGTTCTAATTTCACGTGGAAAAAAAAATCTCTCAACATAAGCCAATTGTACCCAATGTGTTACATAAACACTACTATTACTTTATGTCTTCTTTGGAAGGAGTTATATTGACAAACAAAAAATGTATTCAATCCATATTGCTACGAACGATTTGAACTTGAAATATTTGTGATATGATGTGATTATTACAATGTTAACACTTTTAAAACGATGAATTATGCAATTTCGAACAAGTCTGACCGTCTGACCAAGGTATGATTGTATGACCGTATGACCGTTTGGGTACGAAAAAAATGCATAAATTACATCTAAACGATTCAAAAAGTTGTATAGGGGTTATAAGATTATTTTGCATCGTTTTGGAGTTCTAATTTCACGTGGAAAAAAAATCTCTCGACATAAGTCAATTGTACTCAATGTGTTACATAAACACTACTATTACTTTAGGTCTTCTTTGGAAAGAGTTACATTGACAAACAAAAAATGTACTCAATCCATATTGGTACGACCGATTTGAACTTGAAATATTTATGATATGATGTGATTATTACAATGTTAACACTTTTAAAATGATGAATTATGCAATTTCGAACAAGTCTGACCGTCTGACCAAGGTATGACCATCTGACCGTCTCACCGTCTGACCATTCGGGTACGAAAAAAAAGACCTAAATTAAATTCAAACGATTAGAAAAGTTGTATAAGGGTCACAAGAATACTTTTTTATCGTTTTGGAGTTCTAATTTCATGTGGAAAAAAAAATCTACCAACATAAGTCAATTGTATCCAATGTGTTACACAAACACTACTAGTAGTTTAGGTCTTCTTTGAAAAGAGTTACTTTGACATCCAAAAAAGATGCTCAATCCATATTGCTGCGACCGATTTCAACTAGAGAAATCGGTCATACGATATGATTATTACGATGTTAACACTTTTCAACCGATGAATCTTGCAATTTCAAACAAGTCTGACCGTCTGACCAAGGTATGACCGTATGACCATATGACCGTCTGACCATTTGGGTACGAAAAAATGCCTAAATTAAATCTAAACTATTCAAAAAGTTGTATAGAGGTTATAAGATTACTTTTGCATCGTTTTGGAGTTCTAATTTCACGTGGAAAAAAAAATCTCTCGACATAAATCAATTGTACTCAATTTGTTACGTAAACACTACTATTATTTTAGGTCTTCTTTAGAAGGAGATACATTGACAAACAAAAAATGTACTCAATCCATATTGGTACGAGTTGTTGATGACATCGTTGTTCTTGACACCATAAACAAAATCAGATCGGTTTGACCGATGTGACATTTCAATAGCCAAAATTTTTTTGAGGATTTTCATCAAACACTTTCCATGCATTCTCAAATTTTTCAACTTTGGTGTGTCGGATCTCGTTCTAGAGGAAAAGTTTGACGAATGTAAGCTTAAATGATATTGTTCCTTCGAATCGAATCGAAGTGAAACCCTAATAAGCCAAAAATTCAATATAAGAAGAACATGTTTGATCTACACTTTTAAATTCATAAATTCATCATTTTTAAAAAAGTCTGACTAGTCTGGCTCGTATAATCCTATGACGAGTCTAATGATATGATCAAAATATGATCGGTATAACCAAAGTCCGACCGTATGACCAAAGTCTGATCGTCTCATCAAAGTATCATCGGTTTGACCAAAGTCTAACCGTCTGACCGATTTTAAAAATGTGTTATATGAGATTATTATATCATATTAACACTTTTAAAATGATAAATTCATCAATTTTTAAGAAGTCTGACCGTCTGACCAAATTCTGACTGTATGACTAATGTCTGACCGTCTTATCAAAGTGTGTTTGGTATGACCATTTTTACACGAAATATAAAGGTCTAAATTAAGTTTAAACGATTCAAAAAGTTGTATAAGGATTACAAGAATACATTTCATCGTTTTGGTGATCTAATTCCATGTATAAAAAAATCTTTTAACATAAGTCATATTCACTCAAAATGTGACCGACTGACTAAATTGTGAACGTCTGACCAAAATCTAATCGGTATGACCAAAGTCTGACCGATATGACCAGTATGACGTTTTAAGAGCCAAAATTAGGATTTTTATCGAACATTTTCCATGCATTCTCAAATTCTTCAACTTTGAAATGTCAGATCTCGTCATAGTAGAGAAATATGTCGAGTATAAGACGAAAATTGAAAAATTTGTTGTTAGAATCGCCAACGAAATCTCTTTGGAGAGAAAAAGAAAAAAATGCGTTTTGAATTTTTTTTAAAAAAGTGAGAGAGTAAATTTTTCGAATGTTTTTTTCATTATATAAAGAGTTGCCACGTATTCAATTTTTTAAGGGCAAACTAGTCTTTTCGTCATTTTAGTTTTTTTTTTGAAAACCCTAAACCTAGAGGGTCATCCCTTGAAGTCAAGATAGACATTTGGGGTTATTTTTGCAATTTTGCCTGAGTAAAGGTTCGGGTTAAAAGAAAAAAAACCCTCGAATATCCGACTAAGTGCCCTAAACCCTACCGTGCTCGAACAACAAAACCCAACAATCATCTGTTTTCGGCGGCCACCGTGGCCGCTTATGTACTCCATTCGCTCAATAGTTCACTATCAACACGTCCAATATTATCAAATTAACGCCTTCCAACTATATCGTTTGGAACATAATTTTTCTTTCACACAAATCAAATGATATCGTCTTCGTCTCATCCGTACAAACAGGGGGGGGGGGAAATGATGGATTCTATATCGGTTGCATATATATACACGGAGCAACTTATCCACCATGAGACCGGTCAAAAGTCATTTTATACAATAATGTTAATATGGGCCGACTCATAACGTAACATTTAAATTTTCATTCTCATGCGTGTGTGTGTGAAATATACGTACACGTATAATCTTCACCTTCTCGAGCTTTATTTTATTCTGCTGCAGCGTTCTCTCTTCATCAGAAGCTCGCGACAATGGCGATGATCACCGGCAACACCGCTAAGCGCCTCCCCACGCTTCTCCAGTCTTCACGCGCCGCCATGGTCGCTCACCTCCACACCACCTACCCCGCTCTCTCCTCCTCCTCGACGTCGCCGGCTTCCTACGCCAGGCCCGGTCCTCCGGCGGCTCCTGGCTCTTCGACGGGGCTCTCGAAGCCTGCGGAGTTCGTGATCTCTAAGGTCGATGATCTGATGAACTGGGCTCGTCGCGGATCGATCTGGCCGATGACCTTCGGCCTCGCCTGCTGCGCCGTTGAAATGATGCATACCGGTGCGGCGCGGTACGATCTCGACAGGTTCGGGATCATTTTCCGCCCAAGTCCTCGCCAATCTGACTGTATGATTGTCGCCGGAACGCTCACCAACAAGATGGCTCCGGCTCTTCGCAAGTACGCCCCTCTCTCGTGAATCAGATTCGGTTCTCGAATCTGAGATTTATCTTTGGTCTGTTTCGTTTTTTTTTGGATCTGGGTATTGTCTTCGATGATTTTCGAGATTAGGGTTTGTTGGGGGATGAAATTGGGGATTTGGATCCGGTGTTTCTCCCTGTTGCTGTTTCGCTGCATAAAGAATTTAGGGTTTTTGTCTCCTGATTAGTTCTCTTTCTGTGGGTGCACAAGCTCTGTATCCTGATAAAATTTGTGCTCCGGGAAACTTTTTACTTGTAGATTGTTTTGCTGAGTGATTAGGATCTTGTGTTATGTCTTTGCTTGTTTTGTCATCGGAGGTTACGTATGCTCATTGATCTGCATGATGGGTTGTTATGTTTATCGGTCACAGCGCTGGAAGATCGTAGGAAAGTGGAGCTATTAGATATTTGATTCTCAAACCGAAACGATTTCTTCTGGTCTGATGTATGAAATTCTGGTTTATGCTGATAGACAAGAGGGGCATGAGATGAGAACTTGTTATCAAGAAGAAAGGTATTATTGTATGTTATCCATGACACCTGTGAGAATTGCAAGGACATCCGTACATAAGAAGGAACTATGTCATCAACAAATGGTTTTGGGTTTGCTAGCTAAGCTCGTAATGTCATCAGGTCTAAATGCCAGAGATAAGAACACGCCCCACACCAATGTACAAGCAAAAAGAATTAGGGGTTGTAAAGGGTGTCTTTGGTGAGGACCAAATTTCAGATGCATTAGAAATGTGTTGACAGCTCGTGAATATTGTCCAGATGAGTTCTTGGGCTGGTTAGCGATAGCTATCAATGCCAGAATCTGGCGTAGGCTAGAGAGCTATTTCTGAAAAGATATTCTTACTGAGTCTTCTCTCTCACACAAATGCTTCTCTCTGTTATCATTACATTGTCAACTGCATGGTTTGAGTTGCTTAGGTGTTGAATAAGTCGACGAGTCATTCTAAATCTTGTACAGTGGGAAGAAGAAGAGCGGAAATGTGGAGGGACTTTGATGTTTTAAGGGTTTGTGTGTATCGTCTTGTAATGTCTAAATTTTGATGACAGGGTATATGACCAAATGCCAGAGCCAAGGTGGGTGATTTCAATGGGAAGTTGCGCAAATGGAGGAGGATACTACCACTACTCCTACTCGGTGGTTCGAGGCTGTGACAGGATTGTCCCTGTCGACATCTACGTTCCGGGTTGCCCTCCAACTGCCGAGGCATTGCTCTACGGTCTCCTCCAGCTGCAGAAGAAGATCAACAGGCGCAAGGATTTCCTCCACTGGTGGACCAAGTGAGTTTTCCTCAAGTCCAGTCACAGGGGAGATTGGTTTCTTCTTCTTCATCATCTCAGAAAGACAGATATCTATTGTGTTTCCAGCCAATAAAATTGGGACAACCTTTGTGTTCTTTGTGGTTTAAAATGCCGTGTAAAGAAGCGTGTTTGAAGCTTTGTGCGTGCAACGTAGAATAATAACCATCTACTAATGGCGATTAGGAATGGTTATTGCAAGGTTCGATTCGTTATTCGGATTGTTTATTTCGGTTTTAGATAAACTATGATGATTCATTTTGCTTCATGATAAAATTTATTTTTCGGTTATTTTTACATTCGGTGGTTATCAAAAGTCACATCCACTCAGTTGTAAACCTGAGATGGAGTAAGGTTACGTGGCATTCCTCTCGAGATGGGCAACCGAAAAGGTAGATGCATCTGTATTAGAGATAGGGGTGGATTAACCGAATTGAACCGAACCGAATAAGACATAACCGTATCCGAACTGAACCCGACATCAAAACCGAACGGTTATGATTTTCTTAAATCCGAAAAACCGAAACCGAAACCGAACCAAACCGAATAAAAAATAACCGAAAAAACTGAGAGAATAACCGACAATTTCTTTGGAAAATTGAACTTTTTAACAAAACCGAACCGAACCCGAACCGAAAAATAACCGAACCGAACCGAACCGAAATTTATATAAAAACCGAATTGTTATAATTTTTCTATAACCGAAATAACCGAACCCGAATATAACCGAACCGAACCCGAACCGAAACCCGAATTGACCACCCCTAATCAGAGACTTAAATAGTGTTACAGACAACAGAGGAGACGGTACGGATGGTCGGAGACCGTACGAACCAAAATCATGCAGATCAAATTTATCATTGAATAGATATTACTGTTGTGAGCAAAATATCAAAAGATTTCTACTCCTTTATCCGATCTTTACCCCATCCTCATCTATGTTCTTAGTGAGATGGCTTTTACTGTCTAGAGAAGATGGTTCCTGAAAGCAAGGAGCATCTTCGGGGAGAAGAACAGAAAGAAGGCCAGAATTGAACCGAAGAACATCTTCACTATGTAACTGAGCGGATCGGAGCTGCTTTCTTCAGAGACGATGTCCGTAGGGTTCCACTTGGCTTTTGCCGAGGGTAGAGCTTCTATCACGGCCTCTGCCATGTCAGTGATGAAGGAGGAGGTGAGACCTAATGCTGGTACCCGGCCCCAGTTCTCGATTCCTGATTCGAGAGCTAATTCCCTGTACTCCATGTCTATTTCTTCGAGAGTCTCGATATGCTCGCTCACGAAACTGAAATCCAAGATAACGAAAAATGGTCGGTAACTAAACTAAAAATCAACGGCTTTCTGATTTTGAAGATTGAAAAGTTTTTGTTTGGAGTAATTGCATGACTGCGGATACTATATGTTCTCTCACCTGACGGGGACAGCCAGAAGACTCTTCACGCCTTTCTTACCAAGCTCGACAAGAACCTCATCGGTGTACGGCTTTAGCCATTCGACAGGCCCAACCCGGCTCTAGAAAGAACAGTCGCAGGGATCAATTCACGGCTCGAGATATGATAGAGACTGAGGGATTGTTAATGGGTGATTATAACCAACCTGGTATGCCAACTTATGGTCGTTATCAACCCCTCTCGCTTTCAGCTCTTGCATTATCAAGTAAATGCACTCTTCCATCTGATCCTTGTATGGATCTCCGGCATTTTCCACGTAGCTGACTGGAACGCCATGGGCGCTGAAGAATATCATGACCTGGATTTACACGGAGATGGAGGACTAGTTGAAGGCAATTTCTTGACTAAAAAAGTAAGACCAATCAAACAGAAGAAAGAAAAATGAACAAACCTCATCAGGGTCAGAGAATTTTTGAAGCTCCTTCTCGATCAGGTCAGCCATAGAATTAACATAGCCTCGCCTTTGGTACCAGGACTGTATAACAGCAACTGGGAGGCCAGCTAAGTGTGGATCTTCCCTGAATGATAATAAGTCATATTAAGTCAGGCTTTAACAGTTAACCGATGTCCCCAGACCGGTAAAGACAATAGAATGAATCTGCCTTGTCGTTGTCGTGTAGACAGACCTGAATAACTGTTGGAGCACACGGACGCTCGACCCAGTGGTGGAGATAGAGTACTGAGGGTATAGTGGCAGGACGACAAGTCTTGTAATCTTGTCCCTCTTAATCTGACAGAACATAATTAACCTCTTACGCAACATATATAAATCTTGAAATGAATGCAACTGTACTCTAACTACAGATGATTAAAAAAAAAGATACATGTTTTCTAGTATGACAGTCTCTTCTTACACATAATAAAAAGCTAAAAGATGCAAGCGTAAGCAATTCGATATCAACCCGGAAAACGAGAATCCTATGATGAATAAGTAGGACTCTAGATCAGGCAGCAATCAGCAAAGAACCTCACCTGTTGAACCGCTTCCTCGGTGAACGGATACCAGTACCGCATTCCAACATAGACATTGGCAGGAATGTTCTTAGCTTCCAAGGCCATCCTAATGGCATCTGCCTGCTCATCGGTTATTTTGCGCAAAGGAGAGCCACCGCCAATGGCAGCATACCCTTCTTTCGATTTCGGGGCACGGACCACAGATATCAACTTCGCTATAGCCCCTTGGAGAAACTGAAATGGCCTGGGAAGCCGGATAATATCCTGCACCAAATTGTGATTAGTAACTAGCATTATACTCGAAATCCAAAAGAACTTATATGAGAAGAAGAGGCAAACAGAAGAGACAGTCGACAATCACCGGGTCTGCAAACAGATTATACAAGAAGGGCTGCACATCATTAAGCGTCTCCGGACCACCGAGATTCAAAAGCAGGACACCGATCTTGTCCTCCGCGGTAAGAGAATTAGTTTTAGATTCGGATTCTGCATAGGGCCATTCTCCAGTCAAAGGTTGTGCTCGTTCAAACACATTCGTCTTGACTCCGGATCGATGGGGCCTCAATCCACTGGTCATAATCGCATTTCTGCAAGATTCAGGGGAGGAAACTACAAGACCCTCCGGTATGGGCTTCCGGAGACTGCCGGGTTTCTCGCATCGAACCGAGGAAAAGGACTTAGCCTCCGAACAAGGCCTGTTACATATATAAACTCCATTACCTCAGAACAAGATCTAGCATAAATCAACCACTTTTCATTGCCAATCAAATCGTATCAAATCGATCGCCAACTCAGAAAACGAAGATCACCCAGGGAGCGAGAACAGAACAGAAGAAAAACCCTAACCTCGAAAATCTGTAACGATCACGATTCAAACAGGGACGAACTCCCGCTGACAAAGCCGCCGCCTCCATAGCTTGCACTCCGATCCTATCAATAATAACAGTAAAAGAGATCGGATTCGCAAAGAAGAAGAAGAAGAAGAAGAGCGGGATTGTGGGTCTAGGGTTTCCTTCGTGTTTGAACAGGATCTAGGTCAAGAGAGAGAGAGAGTTGCTTGAAGAAGGTGACGATCGCGGAATGAAATTAGGTAGAGCGAAAAATCAAGATGACTTTTCCTTCAGGCTGGCGAGGCGAGACGAAGCTTCGGTCAACATTTATATGTTTCTAGAAAATCACCAGCTTCCAAACGACAACGTCTATATGCGAAAATTTCCCTTTTTTTTTTTTATATGTCGACAAAAATCACAACACGGTCCACTTTTAAGATATATATATATATAATAGTTTCATAATTTACTAAACCTAAGATATTTCGCCGTGATTAAAACGGAAACGTTAAAATATTTATATTTTAACATGAAACCGCAAGAATTTTGACAAACTAAAACACAAAATTTTGAATCCGAATAAAACCGTAAATAGTTTTTTTTTTAATTCCAGCCATTTTGTTTTGAAATATCGGTTTGAATAATAATTTAGAAAATTATGTGACGTTAAAACATTTCTCAACCACGTCCGTACAGACAGGGAAGCGTGGAGAAAGCAGGGCCTGAGGACCAGTCAAAGATTCCATGCTCTAAACCCAAAAGCCCATTTTCATATAAACCAAGGAAGGATTGTTACGTAAACCCGAAATTCTCGAGTGTCACAACACGTTGAAATTAATATATACAAAACTATTTTCAGTTTCAATCAATGATTGATTACCCGTACCCATTTTTTTGACAAAAAAATATTTTTAAAATTTATTAGTATTTATTATCATTTTATAATTTTAATATTTTTAAATATTATTATTTTTTAATCATGGTTCACGAACGACTCGTTTCGTTTTGCACCCTACGCCAAGGGAAGAGAGCACGTGTTCCTTGGTTACCGACTTAAGTTAAAAAACAAAAAGCCCGAATTCAGATTCGGGTATGAGGTCCGACGGTTGAGGAACCAAAACTTTCAGACAGGAACTGCAATGACAGGATCAAATGTGGCAACGAAAGATCATTCATCTATTTTTTTCGGGGTACCACATTAACTATCGTAGCTATGAATGGTATATCAAAGTTCAAAACTTTGCGACCTAGAAGCAACAATCACAGTCAAAGGGACAAAGAGGAGTACCGCCGGCATTAGCCTTGTTGAAACTGAGTTCGTCTTCCGTGTATATTGCTAACCCATCTTCCGTTCTCTTCCTTGTCCGGGCTGGTCGGTCACCGAACCCACCGAGGTTCTCTCCTTCCCTCCTCTTCTTCTTGGTTTTCTTCATCCTGTTTTCTTCTGTTGTCGATTCCTTCGTGCCTCTATCCGTTTTCTTCTTGCCCTCGTCGAGTTCTGGCTTTTTCCTCTTTTTTCCGCCAAAGATTTCGTCGATCTCCTTGCCTAGCTTATTACCAGTCTTTGGAACCGGTTTGGCTTGTCCCACAGTTGATTTTTCTTCTGATTGGGAGGGTTTCTTACTACTCTTCTTCGGCATTTGCACCTCAAAAACTCACAAAACCTAAAAAGATATGCACTCCTTCAAAATGTGAGATTCAGAAAGAGATACTTGTTCAGAGTCGAGTCAAATAAATGATGTATAAACAATCAGTTAAAGAAGAACCAAACGAAATCCAAGAACCGTGCAGTTCTGAGCTTATTCTATTTTTTTTTGGTTCCCCTTCTTTCTAGATCCTAAAATAGAAGATTGGAGTGAACCATAGATCCAAAGGATGTGTCATGGCCATATATATTACTCAAAAGAATCGGCATGACTAGAGAAAGTTCCTGAGCTACAAAGCCTCCACAAGTGTAAAGACACAGACATTGTACTAGCAGGATCAGTGTAACAAGGGAAAGTTTACCTATATTTGAATTTTGAAGATTAAATCAGTTTTTATGGGTTACAGAGACAACAAATGCATGTGAAATCACCGAACATCCCCAAAACTATGATCGAACCCTAAACCTAATTAGAGTTGAATTCACAGAATCTGATTTCTAATAGCTACAAACACAAACCCACCAGAATCAAATTTCTAAATGCTAATACGAGAACACTCCGGAATGCAACTAACTTGAAAAATACAAATCCCTCTGTCTGCGATACAACACTCCTGAGAGAAAATTGGAGCCATTAACTAAAAAAACAAGCCTTTCAAACGCGATGATTACAAATGGCAGGAGTCTCGATGAAGCCAGTCCGAATCCATGGGCTTTATTCGTAAAATTATAACGTTTATTTCAACGTCACATTCAAAAAACCCATAAGACATACAGCATACAAGAGTTTACACCTCAAAGATCACTACAACAAATAACTGAAGACTTATTACTATGGCAAAACTATGGCGAAATGGGTAGCGGATTTTTCTTATACTTAGCAAGTTCCAAAAGCGGGAGATATTTACACATGAAGCTCAATCTGAGGACCGTGACATGCACGATGCATCCGACAACTAAAGGGTCAGTTTGCAAGTGGCAAAGGACATGAACGCAATTAAGGATTTACACCATTAGTCAACCAAACAGCACCATTCCAAGCCTTTTCATCACAAAGTCCGTCAAAACCTTAGATTATATAAAGCACAGAAGCAGATATCCAACCCAATGAAGCACCCATCCGACCAATTCCAGATATTACAACAGAAACAGGGCTGCAACATTTGGTGTTTTCCCGGAAAAAAAAAAACATTTGGTGTTTTCCCTAATCCATACATCCTTTCCGATACGAGACAATCAGAATTAATCCAATAGCCTCTATTTTCGGCACAAGTAGAGAGCTAGGTCTAATTCGAACCGCAAACAACCAGAATCAAGCCCTACCAACCAGTAGCAACCAGAATTGAGCCAGTGGGGAGAGCCAACTCGGCGGAAACTCACCTGCAAGTGCCGGCGAGCGGCTGCAAAAGAGTATGGAAACGGAGACGACGAAGATACACAAAAGAGACTGAGTCCGTGACCGCCGGTAAATCAGAGAAGAGAGAGATAAGAAACAGTGTAGAGGCAGGGACCACCGTTGGCGAGCCAGATTAGGAGGAGAGGGGAATCGGGTTAGGGCTTCATTCAAAGCCACTAATCCAATCAGAGGATTGCTAATTTTTTAAAACAAAAACTGACCCCATATAAAAAAAATTAAATTGAATATATATATATATATATTATAAATAATATTTTTATGAAAAATGAAGATTTGTATTAATCAAATAATTAAATTAATATAAAATTTTGAGTATAACAAATTGAATTTAGTCAGATGACATAATATATATTGTAGAAAAATAAAATGCAGAAATAAAATAAGACAAACGAAAATAAACGGAATTACTTTATTGCTATATCTCTTCTTCCTTCTTGTTGAATTACAATGAAAATGACTCACATATTTATAGCAAAACTATGAGACAAATAAAAAGAAAATAGAAATAAATAAGATCGATACACAATATTTGATATAATATTATGTCCATTATTATTTCTAATCATATCTTAAAATCAATATTTCCTTCAATCACATATTTATTTTCCTATTTCAACATATATATTCCATTTATTCCATCTATTTACCCAAAACTTTAATATATATATATATATAGATATAAATAAGGGGACAATGAAATTTGTACAAATTAGAAGTCTAGGTAAAGTACATGATCGGTCAATGAAACCTTCGTACTCATCTTGTAGTGTTTGAGGAAGGTCCCAGTGGTAGAGAGCCTCCAATGGCGTTATTCCTGTTGTCGTCAACGTGTGCAATATTATGTGTACCTCTTGCTAAAAGTGCATTTATAAGATTATTATAGTATAGAACGCCTTCTTGCTCGATTCTTCGTTTAGCAGTTATACAATAGTCTATACCACTAATTGACCAAAATAAAATTTAGAAATTATTATATTCAAAAAATACAAGTTCGGGAATAAATAATCATACAAAGTTCATGAATTAATATTACATCAAATTACAAATTTAAAAATTTTCAGTTATTTTTTTCTTTGTATAAATATGCTATAATTTTACATGAATTTTTTAAATAAAAAATAAAAAATAAAAACTGACCCCAAATCGTTGTCATATATATTATATATATGTATAATTTTTTTTAAAAAAATAAAATATAAAAATAACAAATATAATTTGTATATATATATATTCATGAAAAATGAAAATTTTTAATTAATTAATAATATAATATCAATATAATGAAATTTAAATAAAATTTTAAGTATAACAAATTAAATTTTGTGCAATGGATTCTTACAATAAGAGGTCAATCGATTAAGTTAAAGAATCATTGAAGTTGAAACCATAAGGATGAATAGTGTGATTAATTAAAGTATTATCGTTTTGTATTTCACCGGTTCATGGAAGAAAAAAACGTGTGAGTAAATGTCTGGATGTTTAAAATTGGCTAATTAGAAACAAATATCTCCGTTAGACGTCTAATGGCCAATGAGATATGCATATTGATTAGAGATAATTTAACTGTGATTAGATTAATTAATGGTTAAGATTAGCTTCCAGAGATGTCTTGTCATGTTTGTCACTAGAATTCTCTGTCAACTTTCTGACTCAAACAAAATGTTCCGTATGTAATCATAGAGAGAAGAAACATTGTTACAATAAGATAAGGTTCACAAAACATTACAACAACATAAGGGATGATCATCCTTTTATTGTCATTATTTTTGTGATCATACTAGAAGAGCCACCTTTTGTATAGGAGACCTAGCTAATTGACCACATTATTAGGGAGATGATCAACACATTATATTTTTGTGATTACATCACTTCATGCTGGAGCAATCTTTCGGCGACCATTGTTGTGAGAGCCACGTTCTTGAATCAGAGGAGGAAGGACTTCTTCCTTGTTAGTCGTGCTCAAGAATTTTTGGAACCATTGCCCAGATGATTTCAAGGGTCTTTCCGCCGTCAGATTGGTGAAATCGACATAACTCAATCCAAAGCGGACGCTGAATCCAGCGTTGAATTCGTAATTGTCGCCCAAGGACCAGGTGACGTACCCTTTCACGTTGCATTTGTTGCTATACAATGAGATAAAACGTGTTATAAGTGTGATCCAATTGAAGTGGAGATATATTGTAATAATCTCAAAACACTCACATGATGGCTTGTCGGATGAAGCATAGATGGCTGCATATATAATCTGTCCTGTTGTAATCGTTCATAGCTTCCTCGAACGAGCAAGTCCCGTCGCTTCTATATCCTACTCACAGTATAACGTAATTTTAATGTGCACGGTCATGTATACATGCATTCGTAACGTGAAAAAAAGTCGAGGTCTCTCACCGTTCTCTGTTATATACATGATAGGGTTTTTGTATTTCTCTCTCAAGTATTCAAGAACATGAAGAATGCCTCTTGGATGATAATAATCTGTCCCAAAGAACTGCGAGCACCGTGTGCAACTCGTTAGTAACAAGGCATTAACATACACATATATACAAGAAAATGTAATGGGACATGGGTGTGTGTGTATATATATATGTATGGTATCATTGTACCCATGGGCCGATGGGTCCGTCTTCATTTTCAACTGCGAAATGAAGAAGGTAAAGTGAAAGTTAAATAAGAGGGAGATACAATGGATTCACGCAGGCCGAGAGGAAAAGGAGACGTATATACATGAGAGTGCGGCGAGTGAATCGTTGAAGACATAGAGTCTGTCCGGAGGATTTGGGGGAATGGCCCTAGCAAATTGAGTCATGTAATAATTCACTCCAAGAAAATCATACGATCCCTTCACAAGCAGCGACTCTTCGGTCGTGAAATTGGGCAAGCGCTCTCCGACCATTTGCCGCATCATCAATGGGTATTCTCCGTACGTTAGAGGCTCCATGAACCTACATACAAACATATGCACTGAGTTTAGCAGTTTCCAAAGAATCTATTATATATATCATCGACATACTTAGTTTATATAATTATCGTACCAATCGATGAAGAACACTTTTGCTCTCTCGGCCGCATCTATATTTTCCTTAGTGTTGTCGTATGGGAGGAACCATCTGGTTATCATCACGATTCCGATATGTCCACCTTGGGACGGCTGCACCCAGAGAATGTTAACAAGATATATATATATATATATCATATATGCAATAGAAACGCAACATTCAACACAACATATACACAAGCACGCATATATATATATATATATAGACATCTAAGAACCTTGTATTTCTGGCGGTAAAGATCGACGACGGTGGCGTGAGCAAGAAGTGCGTAGTGAGCAGTGATGTAGGGCTCCGTACCAGAATCGCCGGCGTAACAACCCAGGTTGAGCCAGGCTGAGCAGCGGCCTGGCGCATCTGTCCCCATGGCATAGCCCCTCGTAGGGATTGTATATATCTGGTTGATCGTTATCCAATTCTTCACTCTATCTCCAAATCTCTGGAAGCATACTTCCGCGTAGTCTTTGAAGTCTTCTCTGCATATTTCATTAATTTACCCGAAACTTTAATATATATGAAAGAAAAGATTGGGGGGGGGGGATGAAATTTGTACAAATGAAAGATTTACGTAACGTACATGATCTGACGGTCCATGAAACCTTCGTACTCATCCTGTAGTGTTTGAGGAAGGTCCCAGTGGAAGAGAGTCACCAATGGCCTTATTCCTGTCGTCGTCAACGTGTTTAAATTTTGAGAGCCATGCATGAAAGACATACATATACACGTACGGAAACTTACATATATATACACGTTGGCCTGTGTGTACGTACCTGCTGCTACAAGTGCGTTTATAAGGTTATCGTAGTATTGAACGCCTTCTTCATTGATTCCTCGACTTGCCCTTCCTCCTGCTCATTGTGTAATAATTATAGCAGATCTTTGTATATATTACTATGATCAAAGTGTAATGCACGCTACGTACTGGGAATGATTCTTGACCACGCAAAGGAGAATCTGTAGGCATTAACCCCCAATTTTTTCATCACTTGAATATCTCTCTGCACCATATGTTTTGTTTTTCGTCAATCGTATATATACACATACAAAGTACACGAATATAAACAGATTCATATTATATTGTAACATTTTAGTTATTTACACTGAAGTCTGGGTATGATCCAGTAGCCGTGTCACCGTTGGCGTTGTCTGGTCCTCCTTTCCCTGCCGGAGAATATACAAAGACAATATATAATTAGCGATGAACATACACATGATGAAAAATGCTGAGCATTTGTATTTAATTTAAAATAATATTACATGGATAACGATGAGTGAATCCATCCCAAACGTTGAGACCTCTACCCTCCGCACCCTCGATCTGAAGCAAGCCCAGAAACGATCGAGGCATAATTATATATTATATTAGAATGTATGGTCCATTAATTATGTATTAGAAATGTGATTAGTCACTAATTAAGTAAAAAGTTGGATTAGATGTAGTGCCTGGTAAGCAGAAGAGGCGACACCGAAGAGGAAGTCATCGGCGAACAAGCTTTTGTTCAAAGTGCCAGTGTCGTTACATGTGAAAGGCTGTGTCTCTTCGCATTGTAGGTCTTCTGCCTTGCACTTAAACCCACAAAAACCCACGAGTAGGAAAAGGAGTGAGAAAGCCCTAAGATTCATCACTTAGTTTTTTTTCCTCTCTCTTATATGTTTGTGTGTTGTGTGAAACTTGAGACCGAAGCTAGGGTTTATATAGCACCGTGTTATTGCTTTGGGAGGTTTGAATGAGATGAATCTCGTGGGTTCATTAACTGTTAGAAGCTTACAGATTTGGTTTTCATATTTAGGGTTTTTTCTTTTGTAAGCCTTTGCTGTAATCAATCAACGTATAATAATTAGCATTCCGTATACAAACATTAATGAAGGTTAGTCGTTAATTTGGATAATATCTCATCAATGGCCAAACACATCACGAGCCTCACCGCTCACACCAAAACCTTATAAATTTGATCTTGTTGATATTATTTAGACTGAAAGAGGAAACACATTGCCCTAAACCTTCACATGAATCCCGAATGCGAATCCGAAAAGAAAATCTTCTCAACATTAAAGCTAAATCATTTAAAGATTCATTTTTCGATTCTTCACAAGCGATTCAGTATTAATATCTCACCCAACCCATTTCTTCTTTCTCTTGGTTTTTATTAATTTAAATTATTGATTAATAAGACTACATATATATAGCTAACTCTAAGGGTTATTTTATAATTTAGCTGTACATGACACTTATGTTTGAACGATTAAGAAATAATTCGGAAAAGTGGAAACAATTAGGTTCAGATTTGAACGATTTGTTTTAATCCTCTAAATAAAATCGATTACATGATTCGTTTCGATCTAGAACTAAAACGGTCCGATATATATATAACTGGAACGGTCCAGTCTAGAACTAGAATGGTTCGGGCCAAGTTTTTGAACAAAATTGACGCGACAAATCGGTCTGAGTTAACGTATGTTGGCTCGAATCGGTCTAGGCATCCGCGATTTAAAACGGTCCAAGTCAGGGCTGGAACGGCTCGTTTCAATTCTATATATATTTCTCGTCCTTCACTAGTTAATGGGCTGTATCTTGTCTATATGGCAATTTACGATGTTTCTATATATGTAGCTAGGTCAAGATGTTCGTTTCTCAATAGACAGGGAAATTTCTTTCGGGCCGGAACCTTTGTCACTTGTAGTTGTAGATGACACGTCCAAATCTCAACTTCGCTCCAGTGCTCGTCTTTCAGTCGTCTAGATTTGAACTCTTCCTAAACCATTCACACGAACGCTACTTGAAGTCTATTTGCACTTGGTCATGTGAGTGGTTCTCGAACTTAAAGTTCCTCTGGCCTCGTTAATCCCACTTGTACTTTTTCATTCCATGATGTCTCATCATTCTCTTCCTCTTCAAAAGGATTTGTTCTCAAATCACGGTTATCCTCTACATCGATCAAAACGAGGCAAATCAGAATCAAAGAATATGAATCTCACACCATACTTTTTTTTGTCAATGGTATTTATATTAGAAATAGAATTATACAAGAGAGTTTAGACATGAACTCACATCTACAAAATCTAATAGGGAGATATTTCCCTCACAACTATGATCTATTCAATTAAACCGTGCTAAACCACAACTGTAACAATTCACTTGCAAAAGAAGGTTTTGCGAGACTATGGCTGCGATTTTTCTTCGTAGAGATTTATCCACATCACCAAACATAGAGATCGCATTTGAAAAAACTTGGTTATGTATACGGTTGTTCCCCTCCTTCCAAATGTTATATGTGAGTAGTTGCCGCGAGATTAAAGCGAGAGTTTGATGAGTTCTAATCGACCAACATCCAGAGAGCGACCGAAGAATCTGGTAACAATGACTAGGAGGATTTCGCCTGTCAAGTCTCTTACACGACATTAGCCATAAAGCATATGAGTAACTCTATTTTTACTCTATCCAATTCAAAAGGTTCCATCTATTGATCACAATGAAACTTTCGAATACACAAACCTCGGATAAACTCATTAAACACACAAAACCTGTTCTTATGAAACAAATAACCCATGAACCTACTATATGTTCCACTAACAAAACGTCTACAATCCCTAAACATGTCACTAATTAAATTGCATGTCAAATCCATAAAGGTTTTGAGAATGTACAAGTCAACCTAGATCCAAAATATATAGACATATCAACACATAACCCCTACAACATGCATCGGTTACTAGTTGTCTCTTATCCTGCTCATAGCTTACCTTGTCGGGAATCATCTCTGTGAATCCATTACACCTTGAATGTCGACTTTTCAGCTCGAGTTAGGATGTAGATATTAAGAGATATGGAGAAGTTCCGAGAAGATTGCGTACCATATATCTTAATAGTAGATTGTGTCCCTTATTGAAAGTAAAAGAGAGATGAGATTTGGGACAATTTTTCAAATCCTACAATTTAGTTTACGGGTTTTCATTTGGGTCATCACCATTAGGACTGATTTTGTGTTTTCACTCGATGTATTAAAATTGTATGATTATATATATATATATATGGAATAGAAAAAGATATAATGTATTAGTATGGATAATGTTTTTTTTTTGTATGAAAAGTATAGATAATGTTAGGTATTGAGAGAGAAGAAGCATCGAGGGCGGAAGACTTCACGAGCCTTAACCGACATGCCACGGAAGGAACTGATGTCTGATACTATCATCACATGAATCCTGAGGTTGTCCTCCAAAACCCTAAAACGTAAGGATTTGACGACAAAAAAACATACAATCATATTGTATTGGTATACACATTATTCAATGGAGTGCAGAAAGAGAATGTATGTTGGGAACCGAAATTATTAGGAAACGAATTATAACATGTAAACAGAGATTAGTTAACAACTGAAAAGTAGATGAAAGTGTGAGTTTGTTTTTTCATAAATATTTTTCACCTGATGAATAATTACTGAGTTTAGCAGCGTACCATATAAAGTTTTTCTCTAAATTTTATCTTCACATTTATTAACAATTTCGGATATAAGAGCATATATATAAGGTTTCTAAAAGTCATACTATAAATTTAAATACGATTTACACTATTACAGGAGATACAAGTATCATGACATGTACAGCAAAATTATAAAATAACCCTTAGCTATATGTAGTCTTATTAATCAATAATTTAAATTAATAAAAACCAAGAGAAAGAAGAAATGGGTTGGGTGAGATATTAATACTGAATCGCTTGTGAAGAATCGAAAAATGAATCTTTAAATGATTTAGCTTTAATGTTGAGAAGATTTTCTTTTCGGATTCGCATTCGGGATTCATGTGAAGGTTTAGGGCAATGTGTTTCCTCTTTCAGTCTAAATAATATCAACAAGATCAAATTTATAAGGTTTTGGTGTGAGCGGTGAGGCTCGTGATGTGTTTGGCCATTGATGAGATATTATCCAAATTAACGACTAACCTTCATTAATGTTTGTATACGGAATGCTAATTATTATACGTTGATTGATTACAGCAAAGGCTTACAAAAGAAAAAACCCTAAATATGAAAACCAAATCTGTAAGCTTCTAACAGTTAATGAACCCACGAGATTCATCTCATTCAAACCTCCCAAAGCAATAACACGGTGCTATATAAACCCTAGCTTCGGTCTCAAGTTTCACACAACAAACAAACATATAAGAGAGAGGAAAAAAAACTAAGTGATGAATCTTAGGGCTTTCTCACTCCTTTTCCTACTCGTGGGTTTTTGTGGGTTTAAGTGCAAGGCAGAAGACCTACAATGCGAAGAGACACAGCCTTTCACATGTAACGACACTGGCACTTTGAACAAAAGCTTCTTCGCCGATGACTTCCTCTTCGGTGTCGCCTCTTCTGCTTACCAGGCACTACATATAACCCAACCCTTTACTTAATTAGTAACTAATCATATTTCTAATATGTAATTGATGGACCGTACATTCTAATCGTTCTTGGGTTTGCTTCAGGTCGAGGGTGCGGAGGGTAGAGGTCTCAACATTTGGGATGGATTCACTCATCGTTATCCATGTAATATGCTTGTTTCATTCATGGCTGTTATCTTCCTTCTTTGTTAATTAAATACAAATGCTTAACATTTTTCATCATGTGTATGTTCATCGCTAACTATGTGTTGTTTTTGTATCTTCCCCGTCAGGGAAAGGAGGACCAGACAACGCCAATGGTGACACGGCTTCTGGATCATACCCAGATTTCAGTGTAAATAACTAAAATGTTATAATATAATATGAATCTGTTTATATTCGTGTACTTTGTATGTGTATATATACGATTGACGAAAAACAAGACATATGGTGCAGAGAGATATTCAAGTGATGAAAAAATTGGGGGTTAATGCCTACAGATTCTCCTTTGCGTGGTCAAGAATCATTCCCAGTACGTAGCGTGCATTACACTTTGATCATAGTAATATATACAAAGATCTGCTATAATTATTACACAATGAGCAGGAGGAAGGTCTAGTCGAGGGATCAATGAAGAAGGCGTTCTATACTACAATAACCTTATAAACGCACTTGTAGCAGCAGGTACGTACACACAGGCCAACGTGTATATATATGTAAGTTTCCGTACGTGTATATATATGTCTTTCATGCATGGTTTTTCTGAATAAATAAACACGTTGACGACAACAGGAATAAGGCCATTGGTGACTCTCTACCACTGGGACCTCCCTCAAACACTACAAGATGAGTACGAAGGTTTCATGGACCGTCAGATCATGTACGTTACGTAAATCTTTAATTTATACAAATTTCATTTCCCTCCTCCATCTTTTCTTTCATATATATATATTAAAGTTTTGTGGTAATTAAATGAAATATGCAGAGAAGACTTCAAAGACTACGCGAATGTATGCTTCCAGAGATTTGGGGATAGAGTGAAGAATTGGATAACGATCAACCAGATATACACGATCCCTACGAGGGGCTATGCCATGGGAACAGATGCACCGGGCCGCTGCTCAGCCTGGCTCAACCAGGGCTGTTATGCCGGCGATTCTGGAACCGAGCCCTACATCACCGCTCACTATGCACTTCTTGCTCACGCCACCGTCGTCGATCTTTACCGCCAGAAATACAAGGTTCTTAGATGTCTATATATTTATATATGCGTGCTTGTATATATGTTGTGTTGAA